CTCCTCTCCACACTGATACCTTCACTGCTCCCCTCTCCCCCAAGGAGGCTCCAGAGAGGCTCCCACACAGGAAGCAGGCCCCGTTACCCCCCCGACTGAGTGCACACTTGCTCCCTCAGTCCCCAGGATCTGGGGACTGCCCAAACATGACAGCCCGGAACTGCCTGCCAGGGTGGCCAGAGCTGCTCATCCTGAGTGCATTCTAAGCAACTGGAAGTCAGGCAGGCATCAGGTTCCTGCCAGGGCTGCTGCAGGGGCTCGGCAGCAGTCTCACTTGCACTTGCCCTGTGCCTCTGCAGTGACAATGAGGAGAAGGCTTTCGGCAGCAGCCAGCCCTCGCTCAATGGAGACATCAAGCCCCTGGGCAGTGATGACAGCCTGGCCGATTATGGGGGCAGTGTGGATGTTCAGTTCAATGAGGATGGCTCCTTCATCGGCCAGTACAGTGGCAAGAAGGAGAAGGAGGTGGCAGGGGGCAACGACAGCTCAGGGGCTACCTCCCCCATCAACCCTGCTGTGGCCCTAGAATAGTGAAGTCCTGGACATGAGAAGCTGTGCCCCTGACCTTGGGATCAAGGCCCCTCTCTCTCCAGCAGGCCCATGGGAGGCTGGAGTTGGGGCAGAGGACAACTTGCTGCCTCTGACCCCCTTCTTACCACCCAGTCCCCACTTTATTGCCAAAACCCAGCTGCACCCCTTCCTGGGCACACACTGCTTTGCCCCAGCTTGGGGATGGATTTCCCACATGTCAGGAGACTTTGGGTGCTGCTTCGCCAGCTCATTTGGTCAGAGAGGCTGTGGTTTGGGGGAGAAGTAGGGGTGGCCCGGGCTTTCCAAGATGCGGCCTTTCTTGCACTCTGACCGGGACTTGGCACGTTCCCCTCCCCCAGCCACTCCCTGGCCAGCCTGGCTGGGACTGGGGACAGAACTCGGTGTCCCCACCATCTGCTGTCTTTTCTTTGCCATCTCTGCTCCAACCGGGATGGGAGCTGGGCAAGTTGGCTGCAGGGGCACAGGAGGCCATCTGGAGGGCCCAAAGAGTCCCCCCAGCATCACAGTCTGGCAGCACCGCCTCTTCCCACCGCCCAGCCTGCCCCATGGCTAGCTTTCAGGAGCTCCACACACGCGCTGCCTTCGGTACCTGGCTGCGGGGCGGGCACAACTCCCATTGCCCACCGGCCGGCCTCTTCCAGCCACCCCCACCCCCCAGGACACCTTAGTAACCCCGCCCCCTTCGTCTGAACAGTTCTATTCCTCAGCCTCCTCCTGCCCCTATCTTGGGAATGTAAATACACCGTGACTTTGAAAGTTTGTACCCCGTCCTTCCCTTTATGCCACTAGCGTGTAGGCAGATGTCTGAGTCTTTAGCTGGTTTCTAGGTTTTATAGCAATTAGCTTTGGTGAACCCATCCCAGGAAAAATAAAAACAGACAAAAAGAAGAAAAGATTGGTTCTCCCAGCACGGCTGTGCCCCTGCCCAGCAGCCACGGCCTCCCTGTGCTTGGTCTACTGATAAGCCCTCTACAAAAAACAAAAGTATATATATATATGTACATAATATCAGAATTATAACAGGCAAATAAACCTGCACATCAAGAGTACCTTTTGTCATTTCAGTGAACACTTGCTTCCTCTGTCCACGCCGCTTTGTGGGAGGGGCTGTGCAGAGCCCAGTCCTTCCACCCACCGTGCTGTCACATGGTTGCTGGGACGCAGGGTCCTCGCCTCTGCTGGCCTCCTGAGACCAAGTTTAGTTCTCACCATGACATGGGAGCGGTGTGGCAGGAGCCTCTTTCCCTGTCTCAAGGAACACAGCTCCCTGGCTCAGTGGAAGAGGCATAATATGCCAAGGTGGCATCGTCTTCTCTGGGGTACCCAACCATCTAAACCAGTACAAAGCGCCTTAATTCATTTATTTTTTGAGACACGGTCTCACTGTATCTCCCAGGCTGGAGCTGAGTGGTGCGATCTCAGGTAACTGCAACCTGTACTTCCCGGGCTCAAGACAGCCTCCCGAGTAGCCAGTACCACAGGTGCATGCCATCATGCCTGGCTAATCTTTCAATTTTTGTGGTAGAGATGAGGTCTCCCTATGTTGCCCCAGCTGGTTTCGCAGTCCTGGGCTCAAGCAATTCTCCTACCTTGGCCTCCCAATACTGCTGGGATTATAGGTGTGAGCCGCCATGCCCAGCCCTGTGCTGGCCCCTTTCTGCCTCCTTACAGCTGCAAGGCAACGTGATTTGCCAATCTAACTGCCTTGGGAATTCTGGAGTTTCCTACCTGGTTCTCCAAGGCCTCACACTGCTCCCGAAGCCCCCAGGCCCTACACTCTCACTGAGCAAGTTCAGAGCAGCTGACGAGAATTTCTTTCCTTCAGTTTCCATCATCAAATCTGTCCCCTCCCCAACCCTAGCCCCCTCAGCTGCACCCCTTTCCCCACATGCACTGGTGTCTGCCACCCCCGAGACCCCTTCTCTCTTCCTGTTTTCTGCATCTGTAATTTTTCTCTCTCCCTGTGGCTTCTATCACCGGAAATGCCTGCTCCTGCCTGCACATGCCCCTCGACTCCTGCCTGGTTTCACTCACTGTCCCCACTTGATGTCCACCTGTAACGGTGTCCGCTTATTGCCCTCCAATATCTGTTTTTCTGTTCTTCCATAACACTAGATTTGTGGCTCGGGGACGTGGCAGCTCAGCTGAAGACCTATTTCCTAGCCACTGTGTATGCGGATAGGGTGGTGGGGCATGAGCGTGCCTGTGCCTGTGGGGCTGTGCCCTTATAGAAGCAGGGCACACTTGTGCTGGCACATTTTTTTTGTTTGGTTGGTTTTGTTTTTTTTTTTTGAGATGGAGTCTCGCTCTGTCACCCAGGCTGGAGTGCAGTAGCACGATCTCTGCTCACTGCAACTTTTACCTCCCGGGTTCAAGTGATTGTTCTGCCTCAGCCTCCCGAGTAGCTGGGATCACAGGCGCGCGCCACCACGCCCAGCTTATTTTTGTATTGTTAGTAGCGACGGAGTTTTGCCATGTTGTCAAGGCTGGTTTCTAACTCCTGACCTCAGGTAATCTGATTGCCTCAGTCTTACAAAGTGCTGGGATTACAGACGTGAGCCCCTGAATCTGGGCCCCTGTCTGCAACACAGGGAGCCCAAAGGCCTGAGGATATGGAGCTGCCACATTGGTCCTGGGCTGCTTCCCTGGGTTTTTAAAAATTTAAGGCCTTTTGTTTTTTAGAGCAATTTTAGGTTTGCAGAAAAATCGAGTGGAAGGGAGGGAATACTTCCCTTAAACCCCCACCTCCCATGATGTACAATTGTTACGACTGATGATCCATGAGTGAGACGCTGGCGTGAACTAAAGCCCATAGCTGACATTGGGGCTCACGCTGGCGTTGTCCGTTTAACTCCACTGCCCTAAAAATCCACAAAACATGTCCTTATTGAGGGTTACCGTGCAGAAAATCAAGTACACACCCTTGATCGTTTTTTTAACCTGCCTATCAACACATGCAACCATGACTCAGACCAAACTAAAGAACATTGGCACCACCACAGAGAGCCCCTTCGTGGCTCCAGGCAGTCAGTCTCTGGCTGTGGATGGTCTCACCTGCTCCTGACTGGGATGGAAATGGAACCACGTGCCCTGGAGTCCTTTGTGTCAGCTTCTTTCTCGCATCGGTTCTATGAGACTCATCAGGTTGCTGTCTGTGTCCCTTCTTCCCTCCGTGATGCCAACGAGTAGCCATTGTACTCATGTACTGCCATTCACTTACCCATTCCCCCCATTGATGGACGTGTGGTTTGTTTCCAGCTGTAGCCCCATGGATAAAGTGGACATATGTAGCCCTTTCTCTGAGATCCATGCCCTAGGAGGAGCAGTGCTGGCTAGTAGCATGTGTGTGTGAAACCCTCTTTGCTGTCCTGTGCTTGGTGATGTTTCTGCTTTGCCAGTGCCTCCCTTCTAGCCTCTATCAGCCAGGGGTGTGTGAAGGAGACGGCAAGGCTGGAGGAGGAAGAAGGGATCTGCTCCGTCCTGTGCGCACCAATTTTCAGATCTCTCAACACTTGCAAAACCAGCTTAATTACATCCCATATCTGAGACACCACCACCAGATACCCAGTGCCCTTTGCTCAACAATCTGAGCACTAGGCCATCCCCTGAGCTCAGAGACCCCAGCAGCAGCCAGAACCGTGCTCCTTAGAAGTCTGTATCCCAGCTTCCACCTGACAACTGGCCAGGCCATGTCCCACCTCAGAGACCCAGCTTCAGCTCTGTGGGCCTCTCTCTAACCTTTCTTTCCTTCTTTCCATCTTTTATTTTCTTTCTTTCTTTTTTTCTTTCTCTCTCACTCCTTCCTTTCTCTCTCCCTCCGTTTCTCATTTCTTTCCCCTCCCTCCCTCCCTCCCTCTCTCTTGCTTTCTTTCTTGCTTTCTCTTTCTCTCTTTCTTTCTTCTTTCAGAATCTCCCTCTGTTGCCCACACAGGACTGCAGTGGAACAGCCATATCTAATTGCAACCTTGATCTGGGGCTTCTTCCCTGCAGAACTGTGAGAGAATCCATATCTGCTGTTGAAGCCACTTGGTTTGTGGCACTTTGGTATGGCAGCTCCAGGAAAATAATATAGCCCCTAAGGTTGGGGAGCAAAGGGAGTTAGAACTCTTCAAACAGAGGAGACCGACCCAGGTGCGACGGCTCACGCCTGTAATTCCAGCACTTTGGGAGGCGGAAGTGGGCGGATCATGAGGTCAAGAGTTCTAGACCAGCCTGGCTAACATGGTGAAACCCCCGTCTGTACTAGAAATACAAAAATTAGCTGGCCATGGTGGCACATGCCTGTAATCTCTGCTTATCAGGAGGCTGAGGCAAAAGGATCACTTGAACCCGGGAGGCAGAGGTTGCAGTGAGCCCAGATCGCACCACTGTACTCCAGCCTGGGCGACAGAGCAGGATTTTGTCTAAAAAAAAACCAGCCCACATCCACCTTCAGCATGGTATAGCGTGAGTGGTCCCCGACGGGCCGGGGTGCCGCATCCGCGGGAAGAGGCGCGGGGTACAGCCTTTAAAACATATAAAAATAGCTTCCAAAAAAGCTCTAGTCGTGGCTAAAGGAGCAGAGGAAATGGAGACCCTCATCCTTGTAGATGTCATGAGGCGAGCTGGGGTAAAGGTCACCGTTGCAGGTCTGGCTGGAAAAGACCCAGTACAGTGTAGCCGTGATGTCATGATTTGTCCTGATGCCAGTCTCGAAGATGCAAAAAAAGAGGGACCATATGAAATGCTGGTTCTACCAGGAGGCAATGGGGGTGCACAGAATTTATCTGAGTCTGCTGCTGTGAAGGAGATACTGAAGGAACAGGAAAACCGGAAGGGCCTGATGGCCGCCATCTGTGCAGGTCCTACTGCTCTGCTGGCTCATGAAATAGGTTTCGGAAGTAAAGTTACAACACATCCGCTTGCTAAAGACAAAATGATGAACGGAGGTCATTACACCCACTCTGAGAATCGGGTGGAAAAGGACGGCCTGATTCTTACAAGCCGTGGGCCTGGCACCAGCTTTGAGTTCGTGCTTGCAATTGTTGAAGCCCTGAACGGCAAGGAGGTGGTGGCTCTGGTGAAGGCTCCACTTGTTCTTAAAGACTAGAGCAGCAAAATGTGACAGTCACCTAGAGAAACAGGCCTTAGGAATCTATTCTCACTGTGTTCGCTGTGAACAAAACAATGGTAGGTTAATGTGTTCCTAAGCTGCCCTCACTACTGCTTTTGTGAAGCATAGTTTTGAAGTCATAACTACACAGAGATCTTCCAACCTACAAATTGTGTCTATACATTTCTAAGCCTTGTTTGCAGAATAAACAGGACATTTAGCAAAAACAAACAACAAACAGAAAACCTAAAGCAGAGGAGGCTGGGTGCCTCACACCTGTAGTCCTGCAGTTTGGGAGGCTGAGCTGGGAGGATCACTTGAGCCCAGGAGTTGGACAGATCCTGTCTACAAAAAATGCAAAAAGTATGTGCCTGTAGTCCCAGCTACTTCTGGAGGCTGAGGCAGGAGGATCACTTGTGATCTCAACTGCGTGCTCCAAGGGAGGAACTGTCATCCTTTCCACTTCTTGACTGGATCCCAGTTGATAGCAAAATTGGCAGGAATTATACTCTGAAAGATGGGGTTTGTTTGCATCCTTGAGCTTGAAAGCAGTGGTAAGTTTCAGGGTCTCACTCCTCCGACCACCGCCTGACATTTCATGTGAGACACATGGTAAGGCTGGGAATTCAGCTGATGTTTTGATTCTGTAACCCAAGTAATTACAGTTTGTCTTTGATTTAACACTGTTAGCCCTGCAGGTACAAGGAGTAAGAGAATTTTTAGGTCTGACCTGGTAGTCCCCTGATGCCTGGCAAGAAGTGACCCATTTTCCTCTCAGGACCCATCACAACACTCCCGCTCCCATAATGAGGGTGCAGTCCACCACAGAGTGAAGACCCAAGAGGAAAACTTAGACACCAAAACAATAACATGATTTTTGTTAAAAAAAATATTTGCAAAAACCTGGATGAATATGTGTGGGAGTGAATTCTAAGGCTGTTCTACCAAAGGGGATGGGCATAACATTGGATTGGGCACAATTTCTTGAGCTAAAAGTGACTCTAACAGCCTTTGTGGTTGGTTGGCTTAAACTGGAACTCAACTATGGCCTAAATTCAGTGATATTGAGATGCCAGAACAACCCTTGCCTAATAGAGAGAAAGGAACCCAAAGTCATTATTGTGAGGGAAATTGCAGATTAGTGTCTTGAACTTGAAGGTTGCAGTTGTGATGTGTTTCATATGCAATCTGTCTATTTGGCATTTGCAGAAGGTGGATGGCACTTCAAGAATGACCATGTGTGAACTGATTGTACCTGCTGTTTCAGACGCAGTCACTTTACTAAGTCAAGCTTGCTACTGCTCTGTCAAATAGTGTTAGCGCATGTATTTGTACTTCAAAGACCACGTTTCGTTTAACCTGGCAGGGCCAACGCCCATCTGTCGTCCTCTCTGACACGAAACAGTACTTACAGACTTTGATTCTCTCTCTCTTTTTTATTTGGGACAGTGTAGCTCTGTCGCCCAGGCTGGAGTACAGTGGCACAATCTCGGCTCACTGCAACCTCTGCCTCTTTGGCTCAAGGGATTTTCCTGCCTCAGCCTCCTGAGTAGCTGAGACTACAAGCATGCACCACCATGTTGAACAATATTTTTATCTGTAATATTTTGTAGAGACAGGGTCTTATTATATTGCTCAGGTTGGTCTCAAACTCCTGGACTCAAGCCATCTTCCTGCCTTAGCCTCCCAAAGTGCTGAGATTACACGTGTGAGCCACCGCACCCAGCCAATGGGAGTTGTTTTGATGGTTAACTTTATATAAAGGAGAAATTAATATCATCAATACCATGACTGTCATTTGGAGATGATTACAAAGACTGTTGGGACTTTATGTCTCCTGTCTTGGGGAGAGAGAGGAGCATATTTGTATAAAGGATACTGGCATCTTGTTAAGCAAAGACAAACTTGTCATTACTGCTGATGGAAATTCAAATGTATGTAAGAAGGCTTTGAATTGGTGTTGCGAAGGCAAAGGGGTGGGGGTGCGGAAGGTGCCATACTCTGCTTTGTGAGGCTGGTGCTGGGACTCTGAACTCACATTCCTTCTTTGTCTTCTGGCTGGCTGTTTCCACCAACTGGAACACTAGAGGGAGACTGGAAGGCTGGGAAGGAGAGAAGGGTCTTGCTCCTTCCTGTCTGCTTTCTATTCCTGTTGCTGTAGCGCCAGTCGTTGTTTCAGGCTGTAGTTCAGTTCCTCCTTCTCAGAACCCACCACATGACACCCCTTCCTCAGAGGTTGGAGCATCAACAGCAGCCATTCCACACCCACGATATGCAAGCCCATTGATCATCAGAGGAATGTAATTCAAAACAACAGCATTGCTTCATACCCATTAGATTGGCAAACACGCACACACCTAGAAATGCAGGTGACAGCAAATGCTTACAGGGATGTGGGGCTAGACAGCATTCATGTACTGCTGTTGGAGATACAGACCAACACAGCCGTTCCGGAGAACAATGTGTCAGTATCTCATCAAATAACATATACACTAGGTCGGATAATTCTGGCATTTCTCTGTAATTCTGCTCTTGGGTATATATCACAAAAATTCTTGTCTGGGCGTGGTGGCTCACGACTGTAATCCTGGCACTTTGGGAGATGAGGTGGGAGAATTGCTTGAACCCAGGAGTTTGAGACCAGCCTGAGAAACATGGTGAGACTCCATCTCTACAAAAAAATACAAAAATTAGTCAGGTGTGGTAGCTCATGCCTGTGGTACCAGCTATGTGGGAGGCTTAGGCAGGAGGACTGATTGAGTCCAGGAGGTTAAGGCTACAGTGAGCCATGTTCATGCTACTGCACTCCAACCTGGGTGACAGAACAAGACCTTGTCCAAAACAAAAAAAAAAGGGAAAAAGAAATTCTTACACAAGGTATAAGGTGGCCTCATGACAAAAGCCATTGCAGCATTATTTGCAGTGACTGAGGAAGCAGATAAAACATTAGGGAGCACTATGCAGTACCTGTAAGATTATATGTAGACCCAACAATATAAATAGAGCCTAAAACAGTGCCGAATGACTTGTGTCTGGCAATGACAAAATAAGTAATTCGAATCACAGCCACCACTGAGAACAACAAAACAGGGACCAAGATATGGGAGAAAGGAAATGAGCTGAGAGATGAGCTCAGCATTTAAGGCTGCTTATCCCCTATGACCACCTGCTAATTCCAGCAGAGACAGCTGAGAGCCCAAGAAGCTGAGCGGAAATCTTAGCAGACTTATGCGGTAAGGAGTCAAAAATCAGAGTTCAGGGCTCACAAGGAGGAGGGCCCTAGTAAGCCCCTTATGCTTTGTGTTGGAAACCCAAAAATCTAGGAATAAGTGTAAACTGGAAGTAGAATAGCATCCTAAGGACTGTATCCCTGTCCCCTAAGGGACTATAGTCAAGATTTACGCTCTTTCAATCCCTAAAAATTGGATTAAGGTGATCAGAATTTCTACTGCCCCAGCTGCCTGCCAGAAGCAAATGTAAATTTTTTCTGGAGGCAGATAACATTGTCCTTGGCCTCAAATGATTTATAGTTTTCTACTCACAATGTCTAGCACTCAATAAAAAATAACCAGGACAAGGCCCAGCATGGTGGCTCATCCCTGTAATCCCAGCACTTGGGAGGCTGAGGCAGGTAGATTGCTGGAGCCCAGGAGTTCACAGTGAGCTGTGATGCACCATTACACTCCAGCCTAGGCGACAGTGTTCGACCTTGTCTTAAAAATAAGCAGATTAACAGCTCGTAAGGAGAAAAGAAAATGTAATAAAAATAAAATTAGAAAAGCAATATAATAAAAATAGAGCAACCAGGACTGCAAATCATGGCATTGTCAGATACAGAATTTAAAATTATTATATTTAATAACTCAAGGAAATGAAAGACAGAATGAGAATTCAGCAGATAATTTGAAACTACAAAAGAATCTAATGAAAAATTTAGAAACAAGGCAGGGTGCGGTGGCTCACGCCTATAATTCCAGCACTTTGGGAGGCCAAGGCAGGTGGATCACAAGGTCAAGAGATCGAGACCATCCTGGTCAACATGGTGAAACCCCATCTCTACTAAAAATACAAAAATTAGCTGGGCGTGGTGGGGCGCGCCTGTAGTCCCAGCTACTCGGGAGTCTGAGGCAGGAGAATTGCCTGAACCCAGGAGGCAGAGGTTGCGGTGAGCCGAAATCACGCCGTTGCACTCCAGCCTGGGTAACAACAGCGAAACTCCGTCTCAAAAAAAGAAAGAAAGAAAGAAAAATTTAGAAACATAAAATATACAAATTAAAATTAGAAGTGCAGGCCAGGCACGGTGGCTCAAGCTTGTAATCCCAGGACTTTGGGAGGCTGAGGCAGGTGGATCACAAGGTCAAGAGATCGAGGCCATCCTGGTCAACATGGTGAAACCCCGTCTCTACCAAAAATACAAAAAATTAGCTAGGCATGGTGGTGCGTGCCTATAATCCCAGCTACTCTAGAGGCTGAAGCAGGAGAACTGGCTGAACCCAGGAGGCAGAGCTTGAGATGGGCCGAAATCGCGCCGTTTGCACTCCAGCCTGGGTAACAACAGTGAAACTCCGTCTCAAAAAAAAAAAAAGATGGTAAAAGACAAGGAAAAAGGAGGTAAGAGACATAGGGGACACAGAAAGAAGGTTTAATGTATATTTGTTTGTTTTGTTTGAGCAGGTCTTGCTGTGTTGCCCAGGCTGGAGGGCAATGGCACAATCTTGGTTTACTGCACCCTCAACCTCCTGAGCTCAAGCAATCCTCCTGCCTCAGCCTCCTGAGTAGGTAGCACTACAGACACATGCCACTATGCCCAGCTAATTTAGTTCATTTTTTTGTAGAGATGAGGTCTCACTATGTTGCCCAGGTTGGTCTTAAGCTCCTAAAATCAAGGGATCCTCCTACCTCAGCCTCCCAAAGTGCTGGGATTACAGCCATGAGCCACCACACTTGACCTAATATATGCTTAACTGGAGTCTAGAAAAGCAAGGTGAGAGAAAATAGGGCACAGATAATATTTGAAGAGTTAATGGTTGAAATATTTCCAAACTGGTGAAAGAATCAAGTCAGTTTTTAGAAGTCACATGGACTGAAGGCGGGATAAAACAAACAAACAAAAAACCACACCTAAGCACATCATAGTAAAACTGAGGAAAATCAAAGACAAAGAGAAAATATTCCAAGCAGCTGGGGGGTGGGTTGATAACTTTTACGGTTGTGCAGTTTGACTAACAGACAACCTCTTTTTTTTTTTAATAGTTTAATGTATTTTGATAGCAACTTACAGGAACAGCACAGAAGACAGACAACATTAAAAACATGTACTTGCATGTAGGACAACTCAGTTAGAAAAGTATAGTGAATGGATGGAATCTACTGTATGATAAAAATGCTACAAACACCATTTAGTTGCCGTCAATAAGAAATTTACTTGTTTTAAAAAAATCCAAATGCTGGCATTGTCCAGAAAAATGTAACAGGTTTATTTATAATTATTATAAAGTTGAACCGCTGAAACTTGTTCACTGAAACATTTTAACTTGCATTAATGCTTTACGTCTCCGCATTTATATTAAAAATTCACACACAAATGAAAATGGAAAAACTGCCAATACCTGATTTCTGTCCCGTATTTTTCCACTCGCAATCATATACTTAGGTACCTTTTGACCCCATGGAAAAAAATTATCTAACGTTCAGAACTACCAATAACAGGAAGAAGAGAATTTTTTTTTTTTTTAGAATGAAATCTTTCCCATCATAGTGGATTCTTAAGCACGCTCTCCACGTATGCGGCGTGCTAGCTGGATATCTTTTGGCATAATTGTTACACGTTTGGCATGGATAGCACAAAGGTTGGTGTCTTCAAAAAGGCCAACCAGATAGGCCTCACTTGCCTCCTGCAAAGCACCAATAGCTGCGCTCTGGAAGCGCAGATCTGTTTTAAAGTCCTGAGCAATTTCTTGCATCAGACGCTGGAAGGAAGATTTGCGAATCAGAAGTTCAGTGGACGTCTGATAACGTCTAATTTCACGGAGTGCCACAGTACCAGGCCTGTAACGATGAGGTTTCTTCACCCCTCCAGTAGAGGGCGCACTCTTGCGAGCGGCTTTTGTAGCCAGTTGCTTCCTGGGTGCTTTACCACTGGTAGATTTGCGGGCAGTCTGCTTTGTACGAGCCATGGTATAGAGACCTCCTTACTTACCCCCCTTCTCCTTCGGCTGGAGCTCGGCGAGCAAGAGGCGGCGCTGGCGTTGGAGAGCGACGGCGGCGCGGCGGCGGCTGCGAACACAATTCAACAGACAACCTCTTAACACAAACTACAGAAACCAGAAAACAAGACAATGGTATGTTTGATGTGCCAACAACAACAAAAAATAACTGCTAGCCTTGAATTTTCTGTCCAAGGACAATCTCGGTGATAGATCACAAAAATGGCCTCAAATTCTTGCCATCCCTGGATGCACACCGTTTTGTGATGGAACTTTCAGCTCCTCCCTGCAAGAGGTAGAGTTCATTTTTCCACACTCTCAGATGGGGCTTGGCCATTTGATTTGCTTTGGTCAATGGGACATTAAAAAACACAAGGCTTTCCGGGCCCGGTGGCTCACGCCTGTAATCCCAGCACTTTGGGAGGCCAAGGTGGTGGATCACGAGGTCAAGAGATCGAGACCATCCTGGTCAACAAGGCGGAAACCCGTCTCTACTAAAAATACAAATAAAATTAGCTGGGCATGGTGGCGCACACCTGTAATCCCAGCTACTCGGGAGGCTGAGGCAGGAGAATTGCTTGAACCCAGGAGGCAGAGGTTGCGGTGAGCCGAGATCGTGCCATTGCACTCCAGTCTGTGTGACAGAGCAAGACTCTGTCTCAAAAAAAAATAATGTGTGCCACCATCTCGGGACTGCAGCTCTCAGTGAAGGCGCAGAGAACTAGACGACGCCACACTTTCAGACAAATTCTGGTCGCTCACGGAGCAGAAGATCCCCAGTGGAGGAATCACACGGGTGGCCAGCACGACTTTCGTGGCCGGCACAGCAGTTCTGCCGGCACCTCTGCGTGGCAGCTCTCGGAGCAGAGTAAACAGGTTCGGAGGACCCACACGGGCCCCCAGCAGGACACCAGAGCCCCGCGCAGCGGCTGTGACAGCACCTCGGCGCGGCAGTGCTTGGCGCAGAGTAAACGGGACCGGCTCCACTTCTGACCAAGGTTTGGAGCCCTGGGAAGGCAGAGTCGCCTACTACCGACACAAGAAGGAAGCCAGACAAGAGAATCCTGGGCAGAAAACCACCATCAGTTTTAACGCCGTGGCTCTGGCCCTGGGAACTAACAACCTGGACGTCCACTCAAGTGACCTAATCTGAAAGTTGGTAAATTCAAAGACGACAGGAGGATAAATTTACAACGACGGGAAGAAACCAGCGTAAAAAAGCTGAGAATACTCAAAGTCAGAACGCCTCTCCCTCTAAAGATGATCACAGTTCCACATCAACAATGGAACAAGGCTTGATGGAGAACGAGCGCATCCCAATGCTAGAATATCGCTTCAGGGAATGGATAATAACAAACTTCGGTGAGTTAAAAGAACATGTTGTAGCCCAACGTAAAGAAACTAGGAACTTTGAAAAAAGGTTTGATGAAATCCTATTGAGAATAGACAACTTAGAGAGGAGTATGAGTGAAATAATGGAACTGAAGAATACAATACAGGAACTCCGAGAAGTATGCACAGGTTTAAACACTCGAATTGCTCAAGCAGAAGAAGGGATATCAGAGGTCAAAGTCCAACTTAATGAAATAAAACGTGAAGAAAAGATTAGAGAAAAAAGGATAAAAAGGAATGAGCAAAGTCTCCAAGAAATGTGGGACTATGTGAAAAGATCAAATCTACGTTTGATAGGTGTATCTGAATGCGACGGAGAGAATGAATCCAAGATGGAAAATACCCTTCAGGAAATTATTCAGGAAAATTTTCCTAAACTAGCAAAGCAGGTCAATATTCAACCCCAGGTAATACAGAGAATATCACAAAGATATTCCTCAAGAAGAGCAACCCCAAGGCACATAATCGTTAGATTCACCAGGGTTGAAACGAAGGAGAAAATACTAAGGGCAGCCAGAGAGAAAGGTCATGTTACCCACAAAGGCAAGCCTATCAGACTTACAGCAGATCTCTCAGCAGAAACTCTACAAGCCAGAAGAGAGTGGGGACCAATATTCAACATCCTTAAAGAACAGAACCTTCAGCCCAGAATTTCATATCCAGCCAAACTAAGCTTCACAACTGAAGGAAAAATAAAATCTTTTATGAACAAGCAAGAACTCAGAGATTTTATTACCACCAGGCCTGCTTTACAAGAGCTTCTGAAAGAAGCATTACACATAGAAAGAAACAACCAGTATCAGCCCTTCTAAAAATATAGCAAAAAGTAAAGAGCACCAACATAAAGAAGAATTCACACCAATGAATGGATAAAACAGCCAGTTAACATCAAAGGGCAGTAACCCTAAATTTAAATCAACTAAATCCCCCAATCAAAAGACACAGCCAAAACCCAAGGGCATGTTACATCCAGACCTGTTTCACAGGCAAGGATACACAAAGACGCAAAACAAAGGGATGGAGAAAGACTTACCAACCAAATGGAGAGCAAAAATAAATAAATAAATAAAAAGCAGGAGTTGCAATTCTCGTATTGGATAAAATAGATTTTAAAGCAACAAAGATATAGTGGTAAAAGGATCAATGCAACAACAAGAGCTAACGATCCTAACACCCAGATACATAGAGACTTAGACACAATGAGACAGAAAATTAATAAGGATATCAAGGACTCGAACTCAGATCCGGAACAAGTAAACTTAATAAATATTTATAGAGCTCTCCACTTCAAATACACAAAATATACATTCTTGTCAATACCACATCACACCTACCCATAGGTTTAAATGAAACATTGATTGGCCATTATTAATACCCATCTTTTTAAAGAATAAAGCAATATTTCCACGCACTCTCCCTCTTTCTCTTCCTCTTTCTTCCTCTCCTTTACTCATTTTTTTTCTTTCCTTCACTCAAAAAAAAAAAAAAAAGAAATCAACTTGTAAACCTCTAGATCCAGGTCGGCAATGTCTCTCTCATTGCTTGAATTCCTTCCTTCCCTTCCCTCCCTCCCTCCCTCCCCCCTTCCTCCCTTCCTCCATCCCTCCCTTCCTCAAAAAAAAAAAAAAAGGTAGCACTGTGATAGCTTCTGAAAACTTGCTATCATCTTTCAGCTTTGCTGCCAGCAGAGCGGCTTCGTGCTCCAAGTAATGCATTACGGTGGGCGGGGCGGGGGGCCGGAGTCGGTCCTCCTCCAGCTTGCCCCGGTGCTGCTCCTCCCTGGCACGCATCCTCTGCTTGCATTCCCACTCATAGAAGTCATCTCTGGCCTGAGCAAAGTCCACATGAAGGTAGCCTGAATCCTTTCTGTTGGTGCTAGACCTAATCACATCCTGTAACCAGAAAGGTAAATGGCTTTATCAACCATGAATTCCTCTGCAAAGCGAATGTGACAAAAATTCTTCTTGCTCTTCCGAATTGCTGTAAAATCACTGCACTGTTCAAAGACTTCTTGAATAATTTCTTCAGTAGCATTTTCTGGTAATCCTCCCACAAATACAGTCTTACACCGAGGAGGTTGTTCTCTTGTGGAAGGAGGTGGAAGACTTGGATTTTGAGGAAAAAGAGTATAGCTTTTGCAGTGGATTATTTCTTTGACAATAGCCACTTCTGTTGGTGGTGGGGGACGTACCAGTTCAAGGCCTGGTATCATTGGGTTAATGGCGGTGATTCCAGTCATCATGTAGATGCATGGATCAAAGCCTGGGACACAGATCGAGTCATATTTTCCTGGTCAGCTTCCTGTCTCTCCCCCAGCAAAACCCTCCACGGTTCTCCCTTCTCTTCCAACTTCCCCTTCCTTATCACCCCTAAGGGAGACCTGTGGGGATCGCTCCCGTGTGAGGCCCCTAGGAAATGGGCCTCGCCATATGGTGAGCTTGAGCCCGGACACAGATCCCTGGTTGGGGGAGTCAAGCTGAGGGAAAGCAGGAACCGAGAGAGGAACTATATGTTATCCAAAATAATTAAGAGACATTACTTTATGGATATGAGGACTTGGGAGGCACTGTGTCCACTTTCGGCTCCTTATGGTTTATTGTCTCATTGTGTTCATTTTGGACCCTTGTTACCTTCATTGTAAAATATTACCTTAAGTATTTACACTTGGTAACTTACTTACCGTAACTTACTGGGTGTAACTGTAACTTACTTACCATAACTTACTGGGTGTAACTGTAACTTACTTACCATGGCTTACAGGGCGTGAATGTAACTTACTTACCTTGACCTATTGGGCGTAACCTACTTACTGGAAGTAACCTACTTACTGGGCTTAACTTACTTACTGGGCGTAACTTAGTGGGCGTAACTTGCTTACTGTAACTAAAGTACGTTGATCTGGTGTAAACAACTTTAACTTCAGAAAAGTATATAATGAAACATATTGCAAAAATAAAATTGCTGCATGGGCATAGTGCATGTAGCCCTCCGGACCTCGCTCTTTTCTATCTCCTTTTTTTCCGGCGCACGCTCTCTTCCAGGTTTGGGACCCTCTCGCTGGACGAGATTCCCGGACTCCCGTTCAGTTCACAACACACCCCAGTTATCTTTTTTCTTTTTTTTCAGAGACAGGGTTTCACCATATTGATCAGGCTGGTCTCGAACTCCTGACCTCATGGTCCACCCGCCTTGGCCTCCCAAAGTGCTGGGATTCCGGCCTTATTTCTTTTATAACCTATTTCATTCCTTCCAATTGAGCACCCAACAAAGGAGATCGTTTCATGCACAGATATGGCTTATCCCTTTGATAAGTTGATTGTATGGGTTCTATAGCTCAAATTAAACCAGCATGTTGAGTCTCTAGGACTCAAAAGATACCTCGATTTGTCAGCTCAGGAAGGGGACTTTTCCAGCCTGAAATATTGGTAGGCTTGAAGGTGCACAGCAAGTCTCCCGCCAGGGAAGAGTCAGAAGAAAGTGGGAATTGGAGGGAAGAGAACACGCAGAAGGCTGAGCTGTACTGATGGAAAGCAAGAGCTTTCCAAGACAAATGGAGAACAAGTAGCACCAGGCTCTACGAGAAAACGCAAGGACATATCAGCCTGTGGAACAGTAACTGACATGCACACATAACCCTAATCCCTTCCTGCCACTGCCATTCCCTCAGTCTATCAATTTTTAGCTATTTGCAAAGCATCTCCTAACTGAGGGTCTTGTCCTCCTAGGCCCCCACCCTCGATTCTCTTGTCCCTGCCATCCTGCATGCCATAGTCTCTTTTGACAATCCCTCTTCCAACATCCTTGCTTCTTGCAATGATGACACATATCATGCTTCCTTTCTTTCCTTTCTGGGTTGGCCAGAGCAGGAGTTACTTCGTTTTAGTAAATAGACCCGAGCAACTAACACAGAAGGTTTTTGCTTTCTTCTTTTTTCTTTAACTTTCTCTAGAGTCCCAAATACTTAACAGTCAGTCCTGCCATCCCACCTTTTCCCTTATTTGAGTTGTTGGCGTTTTTTGTTTGTTCATTTGTTTGTTTTCATTTTTATTTTGTTTTGTTTTTTAAAAGAGTTTTGCTCTTGTTGCCCAGGCTGGAGTGCAATGGCACGATCTCGGCTCACTGCAACCTCTGCCTCCTGGGTTCAAGCAGTTCTCCAACCTCAGCCTCCTGAGTAGCTGGGATTATAGGCCTCTGCCACTACACCCAGCTAAGTTTGTACTTTTAGTAGAAACAGGGTTTCACCATGTTGGCCAAGCTGGTCTCACACTCCTGACCTGAGGTGATCCACCTGCCTCAGCCTCCCAAAGTGCTGGGATTTCAGGAGTGAGCCACCGCGCCTGGCTGCCTTTTTTTTTTTTTTTTTTTTGAGATGGAGTTTCGCTCTTGTTACCCAGGGTGGAGTGCAATGGCACGATCTCAGCTCACAGCAACCTCCGCCTTCTGGGTTCAAGCAATTCTCCTGCCTCAGCCTCCCGAGTAGCTGGGACTACAGGCGGACACCACCGTGCCCAGCTAATTTTTGTATTTTTAGTAGAGACGGGGTTTCACCTTGTTGACCAGGATGGTCTCGATCTCTTGACCTCGTGATCCACCCGCCTCAGCCTCCCAAAGTGCTGTGATTATAGGTGTGAACCACCTTGCCCGGCCTTTTTAATGGTTTTATTTATTTTATTTCATTTTTTTTTTTTTTTTTTGAGATGGAGTTTCGCTCTTGTTACCCAGGCTGGAGTGCAATGGCGCGATCTCGGCTCACTGCAACCTCTGCCTCCTGGGTTCAGGCAATTCTCCTGCCTCAGCCTCCCGAGTAGCTGGGATTACAGGCACGTGCCACCGTGCCCAGCTAATTTTTTGTATTTTTAGTAGAGACGGGGTTTCACCATGTTGACCGGGATGGTCTCGATCTCTTGACCTTGTGATCCATCCGCCTCGGCCTCCCAAAGTGCTGGGATTACAGGCATGAGCCACCATGCCCGGCTATTTTATTTTTATTTTTTATTTTATTTTTTTTAAACAGTCTTATTCTGTGGCCCAGTCTGGAGTGCAGCGGCATGATCTCGACTGATGGCAACCTCCACCTCTCAGATTCAAGCGATTCTCTTGCCTCAGCCTCCCAAGTAGCTGCGATTACAGGGGTGGCCACCATGCCTGGCTAGTTTTTCTCCTTTTTTTGTAGAGATGGGATTTCGCCATGTTGGCTAGGCTGGTCTTGAACTCCTGGCCTCAGGTGATCCGCCTGCTTCAGCCTCCCAAAGCGCCGGGATTACAGGTGCGAGCCACTGTGCCGGGACTTCCTGTGCCTGATTTACTGACTCTTCCTGTCATCATACTCAAGACTTTTTTCTTTTTTTTTGAGACAGAGTTTTACTCCTTTTTGCCCAGGCTGGAGTGCAATGGCACAATCTTGCCTCTTGGGTTCAAGCAATTCTCCTGCCTCAGCCTTCCCAGTAGCTGGGATTACAGGCACCCACGACCATGACCGGCTAATTTTGTATTTTTAGTAGAGACAGGGTTTTTCTATGTTGGCCAGCCTGGTCTTGAACTCCTGACCTCAGGTGATCTGCCTGCCTCAGCCTCCCAAAGAGCTGGCATTACAGGCATGAACCACTATGCCTGGACATGCTCAGTACTTAATTGGGCTTTTCTCTTCTTTAGAAACCATGAGACTTAAACAGTCAGAAGGATCTGGAGGTATACCTCTAAAGAAGTCCACCAGCCTAATTGACTGGGAGGTTTCCTCTGCATCGAATCTGTCCCGGGGGAAAGGGCTGGGGTGCTACTGTGCTGAGAGGAACCCTTTCAAATGCTGCTGATCACCTATAGGGCCATCAGAGAGAAAGGAAGACGCAGCTGGACCCATGCTTCCCAGGTGAAGTCAGTCCCTCGGGAGGACTGCACTGTGGCTCCCACGAAGGAGTTTTCTACTAACTGGTGTTAGCACTGAAGTGAACCGAGAGAGGAAGTACGCTAAGAAACCTGTGACTGTCCTCATAGGCTGCCTGGCTGCTCTATCTACGGTAGTGGTTATGTGAATTACTGTAAGACTCACATTTTTACTAACAAACATGTTATTTGTTAACATTTGAAATTGGTCTGTTTGGAATAATTGAATGCTGGGAAGACATAATCTCATCAAGCTGTAGGAGGCCCTCACTCATAGCCCGCAGCAATTAGCTACAAAATAGTTCTACAATATCGCCATTAGCAAGTCTATTCATATTAAAGGAAACAATTAGATATTGGGACTATGAATACGGAACAGATGAAAAAGATGAAAAGAACAGCATCTAATCAATAGATAGATAGAAAGCTGGAATTTACAGACAGGCTGCAGAAGACAGGTGTAACATCACCTCATTAACTGTACAATGCAAGTTCTCTGCAGTCCTAGTATGGATGGATAAACACAGCTTGTCTGTTATCCAGGGAGACTTAATAGGCTGAGAAAGTGCCGGTAGGACGAGTTTATCCTCAACGAAAAACAGGGCTGTGTACATTACACCCTGGAAGTCCATAATAGGACTTCAATCCTAGGTATCTTTGTAGTTCACACTGAGAAATATTATTCAGGAAGACAGAACAATTACCAAAGAGCCTACATACCTGGCCTGGTGGTGGGTGCCTGTTATCCCAGCTACTCGGGAGGCTGAGGCAGGAGAATTGCTTGAACCCAGGAGGTAGAAGTTGCAGTGAGCCAAGATTGCGCCACTGTACTCCAGCCTGGGCAACAGAGCGAGACTCCATCTCAAAAAAAAAAAAAGATGTTACGTATACATATGAGGGAAACTCAAGAAATTCCGGGAGCCTTATAAGGAAAATACTTAATTAAAAATTTAAATTATAAGACTCCAGAGTTAACCTACTTCAGGTTTGGATGGAATAAGACTTTGTAAGGAGTTATGAAATAATATTCAAATGGTTAGCCATTTGAAAGCTCAAGCAGCCAGGTGCAGTGGCTCACGCCTGTAATCCTAGCACTTTGGGAGACCGAGGTGGGTGGATCACCTGAGGTCAGGAGTTCAAGACCAGCTTGGACATCATGGTGAAACCCTATCTTTAGAAAAAAAAAGAAAGCTCAAGCAATAAAGATGTCATGACAGCTAGTACAATGCATGATGGAGGGAAACGCTCACACATTGTTCACCAAGAACCTGATTGAACCCTGCACCATTGGTGTGATATATTTGAAGTTTGTCTTCTAAGGCAAATATTTTACTGAATTCAAAAACTGACGCTAGTGGAATTGTGGTAGTTGTTTTGCACTTTACTATGGACTCGCTGGATATTTAGTT